CCCAATCTCTCGAATCAAGAGTCGGCTAAACCCCCCTGATTCATTCTACAATATTCATTAGGACAACAGTATAAATATAAGTAAAACATCTGCATTATGAATTACACAACACAAGATAATTACTTAACATAGCTGCTTGGTCATGCTCCTGTTCCATCTGTCAGTGTTCATAAAATGACCAAACAATATTCCAAACTGAGTAAATGAGTCTAATCTGTGTCCTCATAGAAGCCTAACACAGCTAACCATCTGTTGTATCTGTAGTCTGTTAGCGAGCAGATCAGCTGATAGTATCTACACACTGTGTAGGCTGTTGTTCACTGTAGCTAGTCGAGCTGCTACATGGTCTGCTAGATAGAGGTATAGATAGAGGTAGAACCAGTTTCCCACAGGTGTCTAAATCCTGTTGAGCCAACTGTGTCATTCCTCGAGAACCTTGATATTGCCCTCTGAGAGTAAATGGGTTTTACATCTAGAGAAGGAAGGACGGTTATTGTCTTCTGTTTCAGACAGCATGGAAGCATAAAGAGCTCGTCTACAGGGAGTAGCGTTAGCGTGCTCTCTGGACAGCCACTCTGTAGGTGACTTTGTTCCTCGGTCCTCATGGAGCATACGGTCATCCTCGTCTTTATCAGAGGAAGGATATCGGCTACATTAAGTATCATACACATACCAACCTGTCACTCAGTTAACTCTGGAGACCAGCGCAGAGAGCAGGCCAGACTCCAACTGTTCAAACCCATAAGAGCACCACAATACAGTAGAACCCTGCACAGTTCCCACTGTAGGAAGAACAGCGCTGCGTTAGAAACACAAGTGTCTGCATGTTGTGTAAGGACGAGGTGGGACGATGGAGACTTATGTTTGAAGGCTGATCAGATGCCAAAATACTGAACTTTCTCAATCATTTTATCCTCCACGGAGATGATCACCAGGTAAACAGAACGAATACCCGATCCACGTTACAAAGTATCTATCAGGAGTGATGGGCCAGTGCAGCTCAGTTGCTGGACGACCTTGCACTGAGCCAGGTTCATCTGTTGCTCTTCCACCCGGTGTGTTTTACTGAACCCTCCATTCTGGCATTATTTGAAATAAATGAGGGGGCTGCGTCAGTCAATGTTTTTGACCAATTCAATGATTAACTATAATCAATTATTATCACGTCTAGACTGTAATAGAATGCCTTACACAGCATGTTCTGCCTGTACTTCTAACAACTAGAAAATAATGTAGCATAGCATGAAAGGCAGAGTCCTGCTGAGCAATGCACACACGGTCAGCTGTTTGTCACGTCTGTGCTACTCAGCCGTTAGACCGGGTTATTATACAACGGTACACTAACGCATGAAGGACTTGTGTCTTCTCCTTTAAATAACATGTCCATGTCCTTTACCCAGTGAAAGCCCACAATGAGGCTCTGCTCTTCTCTCTCACTGTATGTGTGTTTAACTGCCATGGGGAGATGACTCCTGACCTAGCACTACTGCATAATAGCATTGGTAATATGACCATTTGGAGTTAGTTCAATATTAATTATGTATTCATTGTTTGTTTATTTTGTCAAAAAGAAGTTTGTTTACCTGTGCGTCAGGGGACACAATCACATCGTGTTGCTTTATTTTGTTTGTTTCGTCATCTTTTGCCACGAAGCGAAGCGGGAACTGTTGTTACTCTCCTGAGCCAAACCAAAACTCACAAATGATGGAAAGCTTCTAAAAAGCAATTATTGTGATTTATGTGGTGCAGTATGTCATAAATCACAATTTAGTATAATTAAGAGTAATATTACTGAATGACCCCGAGACCATACTGATCTATAAAATAGATGCTGTTTACAGGAAGAGGGGAAACTTGTTTTATTTTGAAGTTTAAAGAATGATCAATACCGCAGATTTCTGCCCTGATACTAATAATATCTAACTATTACTGTTTATAACCAACAGTTACTATTATTATCCTGCAGTAATTTAACTAAGATTTGTAAGGAAGATGCTGCATCTGATAGAAAGATGACTTGTTACAGGGCTTACTCTGGTTCATAAGGAGCCGTTCTCACTGATGGGCAAACAGCAGCAGGTAGTCTGATAGCTGAAGAGTCCAGGCTCATTCCTCCCAGCTCACAAATTTGCCAACAGACTTGTGAGTGCGAGAACTGGTGACAGTCGGTGTTTAGTTAGACCCATAGTGATGCACTGAAAAGGTTTGGTACGTAAATGTTGCATCCTTTCCCAAATCAGCATTTAGGTTGTGAATGACTACTAAGTTGTATGTGGACATAACTGAAGTGAACTTAACTGGGATCTTTGCTGAAAGAGCTGTCTCTGACTCCAATGACCCTCACTACAGCAGCAACATAGCCCACCTGATCCCTGAGACCTCCAATCTGGTCTATGAAGGGTCAGCTGACTCCAGGCAAATGTGCTGCTTGATTTCAGTGAAAAGGAGAAGGAAGGGACAGTATGCTCATCTCTTGTATTGTGATGACTAATAAAGGTCTCTTGCTTATCACTTCATTCTGACTATTTTGTGTTTTGTCATAAATTTATCAGTAATAAATGTGATGTAATAATGTCTTGCATCACATAAGAATGTTACTTTGTTGTATGTGTGCCCAACACAATCTCCAGGTCTGACAACTGAAGCCACTGCATACACATATACACATGCATTTAACCCATCCCTAGGAGCAGTGGGCTGCTGAGAAGCACCCGGGGAGCAGCCAAGGATCGAACCTCTCTACCCAGTGAGCCACGGCCGCCCTCATGAGCGTGAGGCAATAAATAATGGCAATTGAAAAATAAAGACGTTTGGTTCATTCTTTAAGCCTAATTTAATTTAACTACCTCATTGATTTAATTGTCACACTTAAATCCTGATTTGAATGGTTAAACAAGAGGTCAAAGGGCCGAGATGAGGAGATATAATGTTGGTCAAATGCAGTTGTCCAAATAAAAGGACTCCAGTTTTATTGCCATTGAGTTACAGAAAGTTTGACTCTAGGGAAAGAAATTGAAAATATCCTAATCTCACAAGACAAGAGCACAAACCAGATTAATTGGCTCTCTTTCCTTCTTTGCTGCCATGTTACCGGTCTCGTGACCCCTCAGGTTGATCTCTGGAGCTGTAGGCGGATGCAGACCGTCAGAATGAATTGAGTTGGGAACCAATGCAACAGACTACCAGCTCTTTAGCATGTTGGACACACCAGCATGACACTGTCTCGTAAATTCCCATCCAATAACACTGGTCTGCAGAAGACTGCTGTGGGAGGAGGGCTGTTGAAAACTGCGACCGTGATATGAGAGAAAAAACATGTCAAAACAAGTCAAATACTCCCCTAAAGGCAGAAACCTTCAGAGTTAGTGCTGGCATTGCATTGTGATTACATTCCTGTATTTGACTTGTAATGCTGTATGCAGGTTTCCGTGGATCCTGGTTATACCTGGACCATGGTCTGGCCTCCTGCCGTGTCATAATCATTGACTGTGTTGTAACTCTGTTATGCTGTTAATTCTGTATACATGACATCTATCACACTTCTGTCCATCCTGATAGAGGGATCCCTCCTCTGTTGCTCTCCCTGAGGTCTCTTCCTCTTTTCTCCCTGTTAAAGTTTTTTTTGAGGAGTTTTTCCTGTTCTGATGTGAGGGTCCTGGGACAGAGGATGTCGTATGTGTAGAGATTGTAAAGCCCTCTGAGGCTAATTTGTAATTTGTGATTTTGGGCTATACAAAATAAAATTGAATTGAATTGAATCTCAATTCTTCTGATTCTTCAGTCTGCAGTTTATCTGCTCACATGATTTCCATCATCACAGCTTTGGCTTACAAGAGCTGTTCTAAAACACAGCACTCTTCTGTCCAAAAATGACAGAAGAGTGCTGTGACGTTTCCGTGGTCGGAGAGAGGACTGAATCCATCCTCACTTTGATTAGATTTCATTTTCTTTTACAAACTGTCACACATCACAAAGACTATTGTTGAGGTATCCACCAAAAATCCGAGACACACCACACCCAAAACAGATCTCTTTATTCTTCCAGTTAAATAATATATTCACCAATTGATTAATCGCCCTATTGAATTGAAGATTAAACAAATACTTGAAACAGAGTAAAACTGTGGTATGCTGTGTACTGCAGATGAACTTTGATGCTACCTAACACCTCTGCGAGACCCTAAAAAGAGCAACAGCAACGTTCTGTGGTTTGGGCATCTGGCTGACACTTACACATTGGATACTTTTAGGCATATTTGGGTTTTTGGTAAATATGACTAAATCTATGGTTTAAACACACTTATACTGCCATCTAGTGGTAGAACGGGTGAACACTTACTTTGCGTGTCCTTACCGGCTACACTCTGCGTTCACTAAATCAACACAATACAGTGGACAAAGAAATGTCAACAGCAACATTTATTTGAACACAAAAATGACTTTGATTAAACTATATCACGAATTGTATTGCATCAAACAATGTACCGATTCATCGAAAAGTTGATTCTTACTGTGTACATGGATACATGGAATTAAATCGCTACTACTGCTGCTAACACACTCCCATCGGCCCAGAATTATTTATTTATATTCATTATTATATAGGATTATTTATTTTTGTATTTTCTTCTAATGTTACCCTGGTATGTGCTTGCATCACAGACTACATAACGTTAAGCATTTCTTGCATAAGGTCATTATATTGCCTTCATTTTTATTTTGAAATATTCTTATTTCTGGGTTACATGTTGTGTTTTGTGTCTCGTTTTAAAGGAAAAAACAAAAAAGGAACGAAATTCGGCTCGTTTTTGAGTTTGGTTCTCTGGTTTTTCCGTTTTTGAATTTAGAAACCAAAAACGGAGAACGAGAACGAGAATACGTTTTTTCGACTGAACGGTAAAACAGACTATCAAAACGTACACGGACTGTACACGGACCATTCTAGGTTTTGAACTGTGGGGGCAGTGAAGCTCCACGCAGCCTCGAGGCAGCCGGAAACAGGAAGGAGAAGATGCAGAAGAAAAATAATAACAACAACATCGACATGGCTGCCGACAGCGATGTGAGTTTCTTTATCCGAGTAACTTCAACTCGTTGCAGGAGGTCTACGTAGTTGCCTTAACGTTCAACGTGAACCTGTTTCTTTGTCTTGCAGCCCGAGTCCGAGGTGTTCGAGATCACCGACTTCACCACCGCGTCCGAGTGGGAACGGTGAGCGAGCGTCTATCTGACGAGGACCACTGACAGTTTAGACTGTTATTACACACTAAGTTCTACTTATTATTATGAGTAGTTAGTATTATGAACTGCCACCATGACACACACACACACACACACACACACACACACACACACACACACACCACACACACACACACATATACGGGTTTTCCATGGTCCCGATCAGTCCGCTTCAGCTAACCCATGATGACATATCGTTCGGTTTTCTGACTCACTGTGGGTTGGAGCACACCTCTTCTACAACATGACCTCGCTGACCCACACAGACCCAGAACTGTGTTGGTCTGGCGTCTTCTCAAACAATCAACTGATTGTATCAAATCAGTTTCCGGAGTTTCATGCAGTTCAACTGAATTCATAGTGGTAGTTGAACCTCATCACTGTACTAGTTTTGAACCAGGATGTCCTGTATTGGTGTGCCAGTGTAGGGTTGGTGACCTGCAGCCCTGAGGTGTATAGGTTGGTGAATGAAGTGCAGTAGCAGTGCCGACTCCACGAGCAGACAGGTTACAACAGAGAGATAGGATGCCTCCAGCCACAGACTAGAGATAAGCCCTGCTCTGTCTCTATAAAGTGTATGGACCAACCATTTGACTAATTATAATGGGTGTAAACATGCATGCATTGTGTGCAACACATTTACAAGTGTTATAATTGGTTCTTTCAATTAAATTAAAGTTTGTATAGCACAATACCACAAATTCACCTCAGAGGTCTTTACAAGCTACGATATCCTCTGTCCTTGGACCCTCATATCAGAAAAGGAAAGATTTCTCCCCTAAAACATTTAACAGGGAAAAAAGGAAGAAACCTCAGGGAGAGCAACAGAGGAGGGATCCCTCTATCAGGATGGACAGAAGTGTGATGGATGTCATGTGTACAGAATGAACAACATAACAGACAACACATGATTATGATGAGAGTAGTAGTAGCATTAATATTAATAGAAAAATTATGACTACTAATAATAATAGAAATAATAGAATGAGAGAATAAAAGCAGTAATGGTAACATGACTGGCAGTCTAGGCCTATAGCAGCTTATCTAGGGGCTGGTCCAAACCTGAGCCATCCCTAACTGTAGGCCGGAGCCATCCCTAACTGTAGGCCGGAGCCATCCCTAACTGTAGGCCGGAGCCATCCCTAACTGTAGGCCGGAGCCAGCCCTAACTGTAGGCCGGAGCCAGCCCTTACTATCAGCATTATCAAAAAGGAAAGTCTTAAGCCTACTCTTAAATGTGGTGAGTGTGTCTGACCCCTGGACTGAAACGGGAAGCTGGTTCCACAGAAGAGGAGCTTGAAGTCTCTGGTTCACATTCTACGTTTTAAGACTCTAGGAACCACAAGTAACCCGGAATTCTAAGAGAGCAGCTCTCTAGTGGGGGTAATATGGTACTATAAGCTCCTGAAGATATGATGGTGCCTGACCAATTAGGGCTCTGTAGGTGAGGAGAATGAATTTAAATTATATTCTTGATTTTACAGGGAGCCAGTGCAGAGAAGCTAATACAGCAGTAATATGATCTCTTTTCTTAGTTTTTGTTAGTACACGAGCTGCAGCATTCTGGATCAACTGGAGAGATTTTAGAGACTTATTAGAGCAGCCTGCCAAAATTCTGCAATATTAAACTATAGCATGTAGTTTTATGATTATGTAGCCTTTCTACAAATGGAACCTCTGAGAGAGACTAATAACAAACAAGGACAAAATTACAAAAGGTATTATAAGCTATATGCCGGGTTGGTAGCTATGATATAACATTATAGTGTTTACTAAAGGATTATTTAACAGAACGCCTCAAGCAAAGAGAACGCTGCTATTTATTCAATAGCTGTTTATCAACTGTTCAGTACGGGTCTTGGAATTCATCTTCACAACCTGTAGCTACAACCTAAAACTTAGAGCTGAGCAGCAGAACATAAAAACGTGACTAAATACAAACAATGATTTTTATCACATGCCGTATTTTTCAGTTTTACATTCATTCAAAGATTTTCATGTTTCCCAATTCTTACTAAGAAACAAAGAAGCAAACAAAGTCTGAAATGTAACTTCAAAGTGATGCTGGCGTGCCTTTCTATAGATTGACTACTAACAATAGACAGGTGGACCAGCGGGTTTCACATTTAGTAGAATGATACATTATTCAGAACACATTTCTCTGTTATGTTCTAAAGCAATGCTTGATTCTGAATAGCACTCATTGATTCAAAGTACTTGACTGGCCCACTTGAGTATTTGTGCTTCTTATTGCGTAGTACCATCACCTGGTGAAACTGGTATATATAGTATACCATCAGTCCAACAGCCAAATATGGTCCACTTACAATGAAAAGCAGCAAATCCTCAGATTAGACGAGCTGGAACCAGAGAATGTTTAGCATTGTACTTGATAAATGCCTGAGATGATTTTTAGATTAACTTGCTGATTAATATTCTGACATGTTATTGGACCATTTGTTTCAGTGCTAAGTTATCACATGTCCAGTGTCGTTGTCCTTCAGGTCTGCAGTTTGTTTTCTTTTACAGACATGTCCTCGATCATTTTTGTGTTATTGATTTATGGTACAATATACAGACTTTTTGCTGACTTTGATATTGCCCATTGTGTTTACGTAAGAACGTCACCAACATGATAGCATCATAAACAGCAGAGACATTGCGCATTTTTGATCACATTTTTTTTTTATATATTGTTTTACTGTGTAGTTTTATTTTATTTGTGTTTATTTTAATATTTTTTTCACATTACAACTCCAATGTATGCATTTTCTAAAGAATTAAAAGTTCATTGCCCTTTGAAAGTGTGTACTTGCATTATTATGCTACTATATTAACATTACATCAGTGGCGTAGAATGGACTTAAAGCGACAGTAACGTTGTTTATTGCAGTTATTTGTGGGACAATATATCGTCCAACAAAAGCAATTGCTGTGACAGGCCATAGACTCAGTCACCATTGTGTTGCCTCATTCTGCACTAGATATTGACTCAGCAGACATTTATTTAAATGAGAATCTTGGAGATTATTACTGAAACAAAAGTCTGTTATCAATGCGTGCCAGAATAGACTACTGTGTTTATCCAACCAGCTGCTGACGCTCATTTGATCTACTTCAAGGTTCGTGTCCAGAGTGGAGGAAGTGCTAAATGACTGGAAGCTGATTGGGAACTGTGCAGGAAACTCGACCCCAGAGAAGGTATTGTACTCTGATGAAGCCATACTTATTTAGCTGAACAACACCAGTGAGCAGTATGCTGCCAATAGCTTCTTCACCTTCAGTCTGGTGTGATGCTTCATTATTTGATCACAGGGTGAATTCACCAGCGGCACCTGGGGGGAGAAGTCTCAGGATATTCAGTTTGCTGACTTTAAGTTCTACATAAGTCATTACTTCCTGAAACAAGAATGTGAGCAGGACAATGGGAAGGACCAGCTCGAGGAAGGTATGCGTATGTCGAATGTGCCGTAACATGGAAGACACCTGATGAGTTAATAGCAATGTTATAGCAGTTGCACTTTAAGTTAATGCTCACCGTTTTTTTCCTCACAATTCATTATCTATATATTCCCTGTTTCCCATGTAACTATAATGGCCTTACAGTATTAGTCAAAAGTTGAGAGGTGAGAGAATGCACACAACTCGTCCCTCTAACAGTGAGTGTGTGGCGTACCTCTTCTTGAGTCCAGATGCCTTCCCCTTGGCAATGCAGGACCTTCTGTGTATGAACAATGACTTCCCTCCTCGAGCCCACTGCCTGGTCAGATGGTGAGTTCTATCATTCATAAACGCGTTGACATTCAGTCCTAGTTGCTGTAAAATGTTTTACATGCAGAAGTTCAGCAATCAGATTTCAGCCAGACCCCAACCTTATTTTGGGACATGGCTTACTTGTTCCAACTGTAGCAAGATTCTGCTTCCTGTAATTTAGTTTATTTCGTCAAGCATTGACTGTCAGGACGGTGGGAGCACAGTTCTTCCTTCCATCGGTATGTGTCTGAATTTTACAGTCAACTTAGTGTCCTCGGTCATTTTTAATTGGATTATGAATTAAGTCGGCATTACTCATCGATGGCTGTTTCTCAACCAATCAGAGCTCTGATGGCAGGGTTAATAATGGGGACGTCATCTTCCTGTAATTAGTACATCAAATGTTTAATGAAATACTTTATAAGGCTTATGTTGACTAAGACTAAATATAAGCAAATACCATGCTTCTGAGATACAAACTGGTTGCAAAAGAAAGACCAGGTGTGAAATGATAAACCTGACCCGCCAGCTGGTTTGTTACACAGAACCATGTAAGAAGTCCTCATTGGAAACCGTTTGGAAAAGCCCGGGCACTTTCAACAAAGATGTGACAGATGATTGGATGAACCATCAGTCAATCAAACTCTTACTGAGGCCAGTCATGAGAAGATCTAGAAAAGCCTTCAGTGTCATTCTCTTCTTTCAATGTAGAAATACTCTCCAGTTCTGAGAGAACTGATGCTATAGCAGCAGCTACGCTAACCTCTTCAGGAGCCGCCATTGTTGTTTAGAACCAACAGTCTCCTCTTTGTGTCTTCACACACAACTGAGCCCGCCCCTAGCTGCCAGCAACTCCTCACAGGATGCTGATTGGTCTGTGCTCGGTCTTACTGGACACTAACACATTACTTGAAGCTAGATTTCAGTGTGATATGTGAACCTGCTTTTCATGTGATCTCCTCACATCCCATGAATCCAGCTGCAGTGTGAGGTCATTGAAAGATAGCTAGGTAGGGAAAATGTGATGCTGATTATGTTCTGCTGTAACTGTGCCTCCGATGACAGGTATGGTATACGAGAGTTTGTGGTCATCTCCCCTGGAACCAACTGCGAGGCGATCATCAGCGAGTCCAAATGCAATCTGCTTCTCAGCTCCATCGCCATCTCTCTGGCCAACAGTGGCAGGTGAGTGTTCATCACTCAGGGCAGTGGGCTGCTTTGCTCTCAAATGTTTGTCAGTTTTCTGTGTTAGTCCAATGTGGGAAGAGTAGTTCTAATTCTTACTGTGACACTACATACAACACACATGTTCTTACAATCTATCTAGCTCAGGGTTTGAGACAACAGACATACAAATCTGTTTCCTATTCTTTCACATCAAATGACACAGTGAGCTGTAAGTACTTTGATTAACTGTTACAATATTCGCCTTTTAGCTGCCAAGTCACAACATAATCCCCACAATTAGCCACATGATTGGTCGAGCCTCTGTGGGTTCCCACCCTGACTGGTCTGGCTCTTCAGGCACTGTCCTTTGTATGCCTTCAGTGACAGCCTCCGTCATAATGCCTCCAAACAACTCCAGCACATTTCTTCAAAAACATCAGCTTGAAGTGGTCAAAGGTCAAATGAGTTTTGGGCCATAACTCAAGAATTGATATGCTAATTGTGTCAATTCAACACAAATGACACAAACAACATGGATGTAAACTGTTACTGGTCTGGTTGGCGGAGACACTCATCCGTGAGCCGGTATTTGTTGTTTGTTTTAGTTTTAGATTATTAACTTGTTCAAATCTTGTCAGAAATCCCAGAATGCACAGCTGAAAGACCAGATTTGAATTTCTGACAACAGTGTTGAATATCTGAAAAAAAGTTGGAAAGTGAATCTCTGAAAGAAATGGTATTGAATGTGCAAAGGAAGTTTCAAATAGGACAGATTAGTAAAACTGAAAACATTACACTGTAAGAGTGAATTCATTATTCACTTCATTTAAGTCTTATGTTCAAATGTTTAATCGTACTTTCAAAATCATTAACAGTGATAATAACATGTGGGCGGTGTCCAACAGATGGAACACGTTCAGTTCTCCATTGTAATGCCTGCTCCTCTTTGTCTTGTGCTCTCAGCCAGGTGCCCATGTTTGTGCAGATCCAGCAGAAGTGGAGGCGGGTGTATGCTGGAGAGTGCCAGGGTCCAGGTGTGCGCACTGACTTTGAGATGGTCCACCTCCGTAAGGTGCCAAGCCAGTACAACCACCTGTCTGGCCTGCTTGACATCTTCAAGTCTAAGATCGTAAGTTTCTTCCATCGACTCGCTTCTTGGTTTATAAAATATCTAAAGTCAGCCGCGTGCTTTCTTCAAGACAGTCACACGGCTGAATGCATATTTCCATCATGGATCGCCATCACAAAAATATATATCACCCAATTTCACACCATCAGTTCATTCAATAATATAAAGTAAAACCAGAGTAACGATCTAAATACTTGACCACACACACATACACACATTATTTGCTGAACATACAAAGAGTACATTATTAGTTTCATTTTTATTGTATTTTTGTAGTGTGGCTGGCCTGACCCTCTTTATCTCACTATAGCTCATAAAAATAAATAATAGTAAGTCTAATAATTAAAGGTCGAGTGTGTAAGTTCAAGCAAGATTTATTGGCAGGAATGAAATATAATATTTTTAACTATGTTTTCATTAGTGAATAGTCAGCTGAAACTAAGAATTGTTGCGTTAACGTTACCGTAGAACATCGAGGACATCGAGGGAAATCTGGAGCTTCAGCTGCAAAAAAAAAGCAGACAATTTCGAATTTTTCTCCTTGGCTCTGGACGAGAGCTGCGATGTCCGCGATGGGCAATTATTTTTCCCCAAGGGGCCACATGAGAAACAGGGACTGTTGTGGAGGGCCGGACCAATAGCCTGAACTCAATCCTGCTCTATATTATTCCACCTCTTTATTAAAAGCAGTAAATTGTTTGGTTTTGATGAGCTGTGAGTGGTAAGAGTAAATGTTATGATCAGTGTTGGAATGTAACTAGTATATTTGCTTAAGTACTGTACTTATGTACAAATTCAATGTACTTTACTTGAGTATTTCTATTTATTCAACTGTGTACTTCCACTAAATCTCAGTGGGAAATATTGTAAGTTTAACTCCATTACATTTGTCTGCCAGCTTTAGTTACTAGTTATTTTGTACATTATAATTTTTCAAACCCTTCCTAACTCCCCAAACTGAACAACAGAGTATAAAATGAGTTAAAATGAGCTCCACCTTAAACATCTGCAGCAGGAATAATCCAAACAACATATACATTTGTAATATCCATATATAATAGTAAAACACTGACGGGAATCATGTTTTTGCAAAATTAGTACTTTTATTACTATAACTATTACTATACAAATGACCACTTTCTGTTTTTCAGTTCAGTGGAGAAATCTAGTCTTTGTTGGGCTTGAACGAGTGCACTGAAGTCAGGTTGAATGTGTGAGGTGAGATGTGAAGGACAGCTGACAGGTGATCGTCAGTGAGAGAGGATCTGGATTTGTTCAACTTCATCACAGAGAATGTTTGTTCACAGATGTAGGTTGATCCAAAGAGAACCAACATCTTCTGAGCATGTCTCCTCATGTGTGGAAAGTTCTCCTCTTTGAGAGAAGAATAAAAATCCAGCAGTGATACTGACTTAAAGTGCTCTGCAGTACTGCATCAGACTGTAGGTCAATGAGTTGGAGCTGAACATCACTGGGAGCATCATCCACACTGCACGTGAAGGGAGAAGAAATCATGTTTCACTCTCAACTGTTTTGAAGTCTTGAAATGGCCTTGTAAACTCACCATGCAGTGCCCCTAACATGGATGAGTACTTGTGGAGGTGATCAACTGCTGGTGTGGCTTCTTTCAGGGTTTGCAGGTGGGTGAGAGTGTTATCTGCATCTGGCTTGAAAGAAACTGCAACTTTGTCATGAAAGCCTTCACCAGGCTGTACATGTGATGTGCAGAGAGGCCCTTACCTTGCAGTTTGGTATTCAGATCATTCATTAGTGCAGTCACATCAACAGCAAATGCACAATCTGTCATCCAGTTTACATCGGAGAGCTCTGGGATGTCCTTGCCTTTCTTCTCACAAAACTCTCGAATCTCTGCTCTCAGGTCCTGAACTCTTTTAAGCACTTTGCCCAGGCTGAGCCACTGACAGCTGTGTTCAGTCTCACGCTCCTCCAAGAGTGCAACAAACTGTCTGTGATTCAATGCTCGTGTCCGGATGAAGTTAACTATTTTAGTTACAACATCAATAACGTCGTTAAGTTTTAGCACTGATTTACACAACACATTCTGATGTATAATACGATGCAAGAATACACATTTCAGTTCTGGGTTTATTTCAGTCACTTTATCTTGCATCCGCTTTAAAAGTCCGACATTTTTCCCCGTCAGATTTGGACAACCATCGGTTGTGACACATGCCAGTTTGTCCCATTTCAGTCCCAGCTTGTGGGAGCATGCATTTACTTCCGTGAACAAATCACTCCCCGCCGTCGTCCCTTTCATTGACTGCATTGCTGCCAGCTCCTCTGTAATCTCGAAGTCTTTCGTTATCCCACGTACAAAGATGAGTAACTTGGCTGTGTCGCGGACATCGCAGCTCTCGTCCAGAGCCAAGGAGAAAAATTCGAAATGGTCTGCTTTTTTTTTTTTGCAGCTGAATCTCCAGATTTCCCTCTGATGTCCTCGATCCTCCTCGTTACGGTGCGCCTGGAGAGCTGCACATTCTCTAATGCGTCTGGGGGCATAGTAGTGCAGCAGAGTCCACCAAACACTCTTTGATAAACTCCCCATCAGAGAATGGCTTACTGTTTTTTGCAATTTTGTGGGATATCACAAAGCTGGTCTTGGCGGCCGCATCCTTGGATGTGTGAAGCTTGGTAAAAAGGCCTTGTTGCTTTTGCAGCTTAGCTAGCAAAGCCTCAGACGTCCGTACCCGCTCTGCATCAGTCAAGTTTTCGTATTTCTCCGCGTGTTTCTTCTCGTAATGACGATTCAAATTGTAATCCTTGCAACACTGCGACTTGTTCTCCACAAACTAAGCACACGGCTTTACCTTTGACTTCAGTAAAAAAACACTTTAAAGTCCATGTTTTGTTAAAAACTCTACACTCTGTGTCAGTCTTTCTTTTTTTAACACAAGCTGACATTTGTGAGGGCTAACGGCTAACTCACATCTTAAACGCAGTTCGCCAACACATTGCAGTGACGCGGCTGCTACACGTTCACTAACATACGTACATTGAGAAGAAAAAAAACAACAAAAGTCGCCTTCAAAATAAATGCAATGCAGCTCTATTCTGTGCATGATGTACACTTATTTACGTTTTATTCCTAATTTCCCAATGACATCCCGTGGGCCGTACAATGCCCAGGTCTGCCTTAGAATGAGCCCCTCACATCTACATAGGGAGTGGGTCCTCCTCAGAGTCGGCCATGTTTCTACAGGAGCCCTGAACGGACAAACCAAACACTTGCTCTAGAGATACTTTCATGTGTTTATGTTACCTGAAGGCCACCGTGGTTCTCTACACACTTGGCAAGGGAGGGGTATTCAGTTGGTTGTAATCTGCAAACCCACCACTAGATGGCACAGAATCTTACACACCGCCCATTTAAGGCTTTAAATATTTATCGGCTTTAAATATTAGGACGGACACACACACATCAGCAGAAGTAGGGATTCATAAGATGACAATACAACATCTGAAATAGTTCTCTTTCTCTGTTGAGCAAAAACATCTGAACAGATCTGAAGCTCAACTCTGATTATGTTATATAGTTTTCTATAAATAGTAAACTTCTGATCAACCCATATCATTTTCAGCCTTAAAATAACAACTTCCGGTTAAGGGACACCCACTTCTGCTTTAAACTCCGCCCATTCCAAGTAAGGGTACGGATACAGATAATTCAGTTGGTTGAACAGATGCAGATGCTGGTGTACTCGTTCATCACTAATCTTTTCCTTCCGTTTTTGTCCTCAGGGTTGTACCCTGACCCCTCTGCCACCAATCAACATCGCCATCCGTTTCACCTACATTCTCCAGGACTGGCAGCAGTATTCGTGGCCACAGCAGCCTCCAGGTGGGCTCATGCGCAACAGAGGAGGATGTGGTTACACGTTACCAAATAATCTCATGATTGTTGCAATAATCATCATTTAATAATGTCTACATTTGCTTCACATTGATGTATTAACTCCTTTGTATTCAGTAGATGTTGGTGTAAGTGAACTTTGTGTCTTCATGTCACACCTTTGTTTTTCACTTAAATGTTTTGATATGATTTTTATTTATGTTTTTAAACTCTCTAATTTAATTTTGGCCAACACCTCCACAAACAGCCACAAAGGTGTTGCAGGCATAGTGTCCTAAATAATTCCCTCGTTCACTCATTCACTGTTTCCTACACTCAGTGGTTTACTCTATAATCTATGTTGATGTTTGAGATGGTCATTAACAGGGCCGTGCTGGTATACTGGCTGGTTAAAAGTATACATTTTTTGTTTTGCTCTACACAACTTTCATCAGGTACATTAACAAGCATGACAACAGCTTCTTATTTATAGCAGTAGATACTGCATAAGTTATCCAGTCAGACAAATACACCTTCAACACATCACTCGGTCAAAAGGTTAGAAAAAGACCACACTAGTCAAATGAGTGCATTACAACATCCATGTAACGACTTCAGAGCGTACAGAAAGCACAGTATTGAAAAACACGAGTTCAAGGAGAGACTATTCATAATGTTGACTTCAGAATGGAGCTAACCAGACAAAGACACTGAATACCCAGATGTGCTTTAGTAGTACTACGAGTAGCTGTAAATAAACGATACCGTCACATAAATGAGTTCATCGCCAGCATAAGCAAGACCACAAGCAGTTTCATGCTGCTCGTCACTTTTGGATGACTACAGTTGTGTGTTTTGTTTGGCTCTCTGCAGACTTTGACACACTCCTTGGAGGTGAGGTGGGAGGGGTGGAGTTTGGGAAGCTTCCATTTGGAGCCTGCGAAGAGCCAATCAGGTAAAGGCACTGTAACTCAGATAAACGGTACATTCCAGAAAACTCACAGTACATTATAAACAACTGAAATGGATCTGAATAAACATAAGAATGAATTGTTATACAATGAGTCTCTAGATCTCTGTGCAAAACAAAATGAATTACTTTGTCTCTGTTTATGGATCTTTTAGTGAGCTTCATCTTGCAACCACTTGGCCTCACCTGACGGAAGGCATAGTTGTGGATAATGATGTGTACAGGTAAGGTGTTCTGGATTCTCTATCTGGACTGTGTCTGCCTCCACAGTAACGCCCTGTTTTCATAGATAAATAGATGGATACTTTATTTGCTTGTCCTAGCAGCGGTACATGAAGAATATTTTCTTAGCCTATTTGCGGTCCAACAGTTGCTGCCTGCTGTTAAAAAAGGAGCTCCTCCCACCCAGGAGGCAACCTCCGGTTCTGCAGAGTGAAGCCGATGCGGAAGTGTCTTAAAGCTGCATTCTCTCTAATGACCACCAGGGGGCGACTCCTCTGGTTGTATAGAAGTCTATGAGAAAATGACTCTACTTCTCTCTTGATTTATTACCTCAGTAAACATTGTAAACATGAGTTTATGGTCTCAATCTCTAGTTTCAAGTCTTCTTCAATACAGCATGATGTTCATTTAGTACATTATGGTCCATTTAGAGTCAAACAGACCATAAAGCAGGGGATGCTTTAGGGCGGGCTCACTGTGATTGACAGGTCTACCAGAGACGTATACGCCGTCTCTACGTCACTCCCCCTCAGTCCAAATTCATCGGTTGCAAAAAGATGGCGACGGCCAAATCGCTGAACTGGAGGCTTCATAACGTCCACAAACCAATGGGTGACGTCACCATGACTACGTCCACTTCTTACATACATTCTATGGTCCCGCTAGGGCAGGAACTGATGAAGCTCCCAGACAAAAACAGTGTCTCAAACACCAGGAGCACAAGAAGAACTAGTCAAGTGCATAATGGTGGTTCTGTGCTGCTAGCGAAACGAAACAAACTGCCCTAGAACTAAAACATATTACAATAACAAACAAAGACATGACACTTATTCATGCTGTTCTTTCAAAGATCTCATATTGTTTACTCTGGAAATATTGTGACCTTGCTCTATTTAAACTCAAAGGAAAACTTTGTAAATGTACAATGCTGTCCTACTGTGGCTGTCCTATGGGAACATGGTGAGTGTCACTTTGCGTGATAAATGAACGTTGTAACAGCCACAGCATATGATGACCTGTCAGCCATCTAGTCAGTAGGTCTGACACAGTGTTTTCTCAAAGCAATTTTTCATGGGCTTCAACCAAAATTAGTCAACAACATACACAAAAACAAAAGTATTTTTTAACCAAATATGCTCCCTCTCTTTGTGTGACCCGGCAGTGACCTTGACCCACTCCAAGCTCCTCACTGGTCCGTCCGAGTCAGGTCAGCTGAAAACCCTCAGTGTCTAATGGGTAAGATGAAACCCTTGATGTCCAGTAGATATTCTTTCCTGTAAAAAGATGTTTCACATAATCCTGTTTAAAGAATGTTTTAGGTTAGGAAGTGTTCTTACCCTGACTTCTTCGAAGACATTGAAGTACTCCAGCAACTAAGGAGGTTCAGTAGGAAGTGGAATGAGCTCTGTCCTATCACCTGTTTTCCCCTTGTTGTGATTCATATATAGTTTTTACTTAGTATAACCTGACAAACATGACATGCACTACTGAATTAACCTTTTAGTAGTAGCCCTAGTAGTCTGATGAGTTCCACTGGTGTCGGACACGAAGGCCGTAACTTATTAAATCTTTAGAATTCATTTAGTATCCCAGTTCCCAGCCCGACTGGAGTAGCTGGACCACAAAAGTCATCCAACTTTGGGCAACTGCTCTTTATGTTGTAATTTACAACAGCAGTGGCAGCAAAGTTATGTTCTTTTGATAGCAGCACACCTCTGTTGTTGGGCAGTGGAGGACGCCAGCCTCTGTTGTCTCCACTGGATGTCCCCTCCAAACTTGTCATTTGTGCTCCTTTTTATATCCACTTCACGTCCTACCCAGTGGCCTTTTTCAGGTGTAAAAGAATGTTGGGGCAACAGCTACTTTGGACAGATGCAAAATCAGTCAGTTTTAGAATATAAGCAGTATAATTGGTGCAAAGAATGTTGGAAGGATTTGACCCATTCTTATCTTCCCATGCAGGCGACTTGCTGACAGAGTTCTTTAAGCTCTGCTGTAGGAAGGAGTCTTCAGAAGAGATTCTGGGAAGAGGATTGGCTGAAGACGAGGGCAAAGGTCAGGTTACTGGCTGCACTGATAGCTGCACAAACACTGAAATGTTTGCCTAGAGCCTCTTATTACTCATCTATACAAATCAAAAGATGCAATATACAAATACACAATTTATACAGTATCAAATATTAGACGGTATCTGTGTGATTGTAAATATCTGCTGTTTTTTCCTTGCAGAAAATAGTGACATCAGCTCTGCTTTATCGAAGCTGACGGAGCCGACAGCAACAGTGCCAATCTCCAAACTGTCTGTCTCCAATATGGTGCACAGCGCCCGCAAGCACATCCGACGCCACAGACGCATTGATGAGTCACCACTCAACACTGATATACTCAACTCTATCCTTCTGGTAAGGGTTTATTACTGCATTTGGGCTAGTAATATTATTACATTACTAAAAAAGTATTCAAATCATTTTCATTTGCTTATCCGGGACCGGGTCACAACGTTTTCCAGCTCTTCCTGAGGAACCCCGAGTTGTTCTGATTTTTGCCGCTTGTATCCGCAGTCTCATTCTTTTGGTCACTAGCCAAAGCTCATGACCAGGTGAGGGTCGGAACATAGATGGATTGGTAAATAAAGAGCTTTGTCTTTAGGCTCCGCCTTCACCACAACAGTCTGGTGCAACGCCGGCATCACTGCTGATGCTGCACCAAGCGTTCTGTCCATCTCACGCTCCATTTTACCCTCACTCGTGAACAAGACCCATAGATGCATGATCTCCTTTCGCTTGGGGCAGTAACCCACTCCCAACCCAGAGGCAATAAGCCTCAGACTTGAAGGTACTGACTCTAATCCCTACCGCTTTACAGTCAGGCTCGTAGCAGTGACCCCGGTACCCCGTATTCCCATAGGACTTCCCGGGGGAAACTGTCATAAGCCGTCACCAAGCCTACACACATGTAGACAAGATGGGCAAATTCCCATGAACCCCCAGCAGCCCTGCAAGGGTATAGAGCAATATTCAGCAAGGTCCAGTTAGAGAGAGTTTCCTCATTAAAGGTCCAGATCATCACAATAATGTCTAACTTGTTCTATGATTTAGTTCCATCTATAAGAAAGTAGCCAACAGTTGTATTAACGTCTGTATGTAGTCAACAACGGACTGTCAAATTAAATAAACATTCAATTAAATAATATCTCAACAATATTTATTATTACAGATTACAAATTTAACTGGATGCATTATAGATAATACAAACTCTAATAATAAATAAATGTTGTTCTCTGGTTAAGCTGTCCACATTTCTCTTTTTCGAGCATGTCAATAACTTCTCTGACTCACATACTTTTTCCAACTGTTGAGTCTCTCTCTGTCTCTGCTGTGTGTGTGAATATCTCACTCGAGTCGAGGGCGACGCTTATCGTAATACACATATGTGATTGGCCGAGTAGCATCACGTGAGATGGTTTACAACATATATAAGCCGAGCGGTCGGTGTGCTTCCTGGAGCCCAGTCCGACACTCATGGATTGGCCTTTTGTAAATGTATTATTGAATTGCACATTTATATTTCATGTTTATGTGTTTTGTTTCTTGTCTCAGTATCTTTTCCCAGATGCTGCTGTGGAGAAGTCATCAGAGAATAGCAAGAATAAAACTGCTCAGTCAAACTCCTGTGGGAAAGATGAGCAAAATAAACACTCTGACTACGTAAGTGAACCCCTTTACCACTAACACACTGACAATTTGACTGGGCCAGCCAGCCTGTTTGGAATAATACATTGTTCATGTAACATTTACGATCAAACACTGCAGAACCATAAAAATAACTACAATTACTGTTAAACCATTATAACCTATCAAACATTGGAAAATACTACACTAAAATGACAATAACACGATATTGTGCAAACCTTTGGGAAAAGTGTCCCAATTAATGTGCAATCACCACAATGAATATTGCATACAGTACAATAGTCATGATTCTGCTGTATCAAAATAATCCCCAGTGGTGTTAGAAGAGTTGAAAAGGAGGCTCCAGGAGTTCTACACCTCTCGTGATGTGGTGTCAGGGTGCCACTGTGCATTCTCTTCTGATTGTGGATAGTCATTATGAGTTAAATGTTTGCTTTAAAAAAAAAAAAAAAAAAAAAAAAAGAAGTATTTCCTTACAATTGATTCCTATTCTGAATGAACCTTTTCATACATGCGTATCCATCGTTCCCCCTGTATCCAGAACCTTTTCCTCCAGCTGAAGTCCGCCCCCAGCGACAGTCTGACCTACCGGCTGGCTCTGTGTGCGTGTCTGGTCAACTATAACCATGGCGGGGTGCGTGCTGTTGCCCACCTCTGGCAGGAGTTTGTCCTAGAGCTGCGCTACCGCTGGGAAAACAACCACTTCATCTACGGGTGGGTTCGACTCTCTTGGGCTGCTCGTAGGCCTGTTTGGAAAGAGCTAAAGGCATCGCACCTCTCAGATGGTTTCACATTTGAGGATCCACATCTTAACATACATAGCCACACCCACCTAGTAACCTGTCCAATACACAAGAAGAAGCTGTCACTGTTGTGATGTTGATCCTCTTAACTCAAATGTAGATTGCATTTACAACACACACTGATAAAGTACAGAAACCCAAGTGAAAGGCTTCTAAGATACAAACCACATGTACGGTCATTGTCATTTCAACGTTGTACTAGTTGAAGCTATTTAAGAAGTAGTTGATGTCATGTTCTCTCATATGGACCTCATCTTCTCCTTCTGCTCCCTGACCTGCAGACTGGCTGGTGGACCTCCTGATCTTCGCTGTTGTCTTTTGCACCAGAAGCTCCAGGTAGAGAGTGATACAAAACCCACAGTGTGTTTGAGCCAGAAGGTCAGATGAAATCATTCAAAAATACACAAGACAAATGAAGGTACAAAAGGTAATTAAGATTATTTGTTGGGGGCAATGGGAAATTATAAAAATAATATATTAAATATTGACTTTAATAAATACTAAAGTTCCTTGGGGCACCAGAGAAAACTGATCTAGTCTCATTAATGGTTTTCCCTGAATGTTGGGTATTTCAATTAGAATCATCAAAATAAAGGGCAAAGTAGTTCAATCATGTATGTATATATCCAGCAGTAATCTGATTATAATAATGTTTATATCACCAATGAAGTAACAGTACGTTGAAGGTAATTTGGGGGAGAGTTTGATGCAGAAGAGGCTGGCTTCAACACAACATTCAGGCAAAAACAACCAGGATCACAATATAAAACGAACATACAGACAATAATATGTCAGCCGAACAAATGAGCATGCAGTCTCAGCCACCATTCTAAATGGCTACCCAAATACATCAGAAGCTAGTCATTTATTTTATACAATAATTATCCATGTAAATGCAACAACTGTAAAACTGCAAAAACAAAAGTGTCGATTAGATTAGATTAGTTGAATAGAAACGTTGCATTTAGTTTGTCACAGTACTTAACATTGCACAATAACGCAATGTTAAGTACTGTGATATGAGGACAAGTAGTAGTAGTAGTTCTGTGGGAAAAGCAATCGTGCTAACATGAACTGAGAAGTGTACCAGAAGTCTCAACTCTCATTCAGGCCAACTGACTTAATGCACACATAAATCCATCCATCCTGTCTGAATGAAGCTGTGAGTAACATTAATGTCTGAATGACAACAAGCCATCCCTTTAACAGAGCGATGAAGACAGCAATGTTAAGTATTCTGTGTCTGAAAAGGGCTTATGTTCCTGTGTAGATGCTGAACTGCTGCATCGAGAGGAAGAGGGCGAGAGATGAAACTCGCAAGGTGCTGGAGGGGAGCAGAGAGAGAGAGCGCAGGGTGTCCCCTCCGGAGTCCGCAGCGGCAACAACGACTGCATCCGGCTCGACGAGGGAGGTGTCTCCGGGGAAATCCTGGGACTCGTGGAGCGACAGCGAGGAGGAGTTCTTTGAGTGCATGAGTGACCAGGGGGAGATAGAGGCAGAGAAGGATGGCAGTAAAAGTAAAGCAGAGGGAAGGCTTCATCCCTACAACAACGTGACTCTACTGAACTCCACGGAGCCTCTCTACATTCCTGTCACACAGGTCAGGACCTCTGTCCCTCTCATTCACACACATGTTCATGAAGGAAATAAATGTCCAACAGTTATTTATCAATACAGATGTAATATGTACAGTAGCACTTATTATTAATGTACTACTATGTTCCAAATATAACGTGTTGAGAGAAAAAAAAGCCACTTGCATAGAAGTTATAAAAAGAAGATGGCTGTTTTGGATATTTGTTACATTTGTTAATAAGTTATAGGGTTAGATAAGACTTGACTCTATGTTTTATGTATTATTTCACAATTGGTAATATCCCCTTTAAGGCCATATACAGTAGTGCTTTAGTTAGAGTAAACACACCTCCGATACATTTCTGAGAAAAATTCTGATATTTTTTAGTTTTTAGTTTTTCACTTTGTCATGGTCCGGCTCTAGAACCACAACAAAACGTCACGGAAACTCAGGCACGGACCTTAAACAAAGAAAATACCTTTATTAGCAAAAGGCCAGGACATTTCAAAGTGCAACACAGAAGAGCATTCTCGCAGAATGCCAGACGGTGTAACTGCTGCTGCCAGACACTCCGTGTAGCACACCAGGTGTGTCAGGGGAAGAAACCAGCACTTCCTCCGGATGGGGCAGGTCTTGTAGGGCGAAGGCCGTGGCCAGCTGCCTCCAATCTTCCTGATGTCCCTCTAACGATCCAGGAACACTGAAAGATAGACACTCCCTGGCAGAGGCCCTGGGCTGTCACACTTTCTCTAAATGAATGCTGATTGGTCAAGATTTTAGCTACAATTTAAGAAAAGAAAATGGGAAGAAGGGCAAGTCACTGAAATCGCTTTGTTCATATGAAAAGCTTGGAGATAGGTCACTGATCAGTTTTCCAGAGTTGCTGCTCTATACTGGCCTCCACCCAGCAGAACCACATCAATCTGGATTAATATGCATCAACAATCAGAAAATGTGTCCATGATGAGGTCCCAAAGACAAAAACTGGTTATTAGACTTCCTCACACACAGACCCCGGCACCTCCTCCACTCTAGTGTTGAACATCAACATATGTAATGACGTAAGTTTATTACAGCCGCATGTTATGTGAGGTATGGAAACTCTGTGTGTGTTTTTTTGTTTGTTTGTTTGTTTGTCAGGAACCTGCTCCCATGACAGAGGATCTGTTAGAGGAGCAGTCAGAAGTTCTGGCCAAACTGGGCACGTCAGCTGAAGGAACCCACCTCCGTGCCCGGATGCAGAGTGCCTGTCTGCTCTCTGACATGGAGTCCTTTAAGGTGAACCAGGAAGAAATGCACACATTCACTGCTTATTTACTGTCAGCCTGTGTGTCCTGCCCAGCCAGTCAATTCAAGTTTAAACTACAACACAAGCTTTCCATTAATCATAAGGATATATATGTATATACTGTATGTATGTATGTGTATATATATATATATATGTATGTATGTATGTGTATATATATATATATATGTATGTATGTATATATGTATGTATATATATATGTATGTGTATATATATATGTATGTGTGTATATATATATATATATGTGTAGATATATATATGTATGTGTATATATATATGTATATATATATATGTATGTATGTATGTATGTATGTATGTATGTATGTGTATGTATGTATGTATGTATGTATGTGTATATATATATGTATGTATATATGTATATATATGTATGTATATATGTAT